AGTATAACTAGCACCCATTGAAGTACTGTTATAGTTAAGGGTATCACAACCTGTCAAAGGGCTTCGAGTATTCACTGACATTAAATAGCCGGAATGGTTTTACTATCTTCTTGAAACTAATAATCCAGTTAGCTCTTTTTGTGAAAGGGTTTATCTTGTATTTAGAGACTCTATATTACATTAATTCCTCTTCTACCTGCGCCTTGATTTTTTCTCGAATGATTGTATTTAGAAGTATTGTAAGTATGCTCAGTGTGTTGTAAGGAACCTGAAGTATAATATAGTTATATCAGGTCTCTGCGACTTGAGTATTATCCATATCAAACGCGGTGATCAGCTGTATACGATTTTCGTTTTGTAAAAGATTCTTGTATTCCTTTGATATTTTATATTTTAGGGTTTACCCCATCCTATTACAATAAAGCGAGAGGATTAATTTAAGCTTTAATTTAGGAACTGTTTCTATAATCTTCAATTATAATTCGAAAAGGTTATTAATAATCATTTATTACCCACTTCCTATCTTTATAAGAATTATATAGCTATTTCGCTTCTGTTGTTTGTACTCTTATATCGTCTTTATTGTTTTAGATATATTTGCTTTAGCATTCTTTGATATTTAAGGTGCCCTCTTAGTTTTGAGTATATTAGTATAAAATTTAGCAGTTCCCTTTAGGGTTATTTTTATAATTAGTATAGGGGTTCTTTATATAAATCCAACTTATCTTATAATCTTGATTATGTTATTGATACACGCAGACCTTAGCGTATCAGTGTGGCTCAGTTCCATCTTGCTTAGGGTTTTAATGTATATATTGATTGTACTTGCAATTTTTTAGGGTTACTCATCGCTTTCCATCCTTCTTATAGAATTAATCAATTATTACTTTATAGATAAACCATATATTGTTATCTCCATTTACTTCAATTATCAATATAATCATTATCGTTGTTATTAAAGCGATTGGATTGCGATCCGATACACTCAGCAACGCAACAGGTTGCTTACGACCACACATTGATAATATCATGGTATTGTAAGATTCCTTTAATATGATTTGTTATAATATAGCTAGTATCCGTTATTGATTGTCTGTTTTGCTACTATTGTATAATCGGAATGTGATGTATGATATGTTTCTGTTATCGATATCCATCAAATTGATTATATTAATTAAGTTGCTTCTTATACAATGACATAGTTACATATCTGGTTATATCGCTGACAATAGTGTTTACGATTGTGGTATCTCCATTCGTAATATATCAACTATTATAATATTACTATTATTATTACTATTTATATTATTACTATTATTCGATTTGATTTCTTTAGGCTCTTCATAAAAAGATTATATAGATATAGATCGAAATTTAATTGGTTTACTAATAAGTTTTACTTTATATATTTCCCCATCCATTCCAATTAGAATGTATAGTTTAGTTTATTTGTTTAATGTATTACTACCTTTTTCTTTTTTTCATACTAAAACTTATAAATTAAGCGGTAGAGTAAGGACTAATATCATAAATAATCCATTCCTTAATCTGAGTACTTTTGTAACCTATCTCTTAGCTTGTATATAATATACTTCTGCTATAGCTTTCTTTGTAGCTTTTATATATTAAATAATTATCGGGATTGATGGGTTAATATCATTTAATCTAGAATATATCCTATAAACTAGCAGTGTAGGAACAAGCCCATTCGGTCCGACTATATTATTCATAGCTTTTACTGCTATTTGCAGGATTATTGTTTTTATTAAATTGTTATCTTCAAGCTCTTTAATCAAGATCTTGTATATATAATATAGGGGGTAATAATATCTCTCCACTATATCTATAGAATTATATGCTTCAATTAATATACTCTTGATGATAATTAACATAGATTTTATATTCTGAATAAATTCTTTACTTATAAAATTCTTTTCTATATTATAAATAATATAATCTAATAATTCCATATATACATCAATTCAGCACTCTCAAAGAGTATTGAATATATATTTAGCTAAAACGTTTTAAGGAACCGAGCTGTTTGATAGCGTATTGCCTTATCGATAATATGCAGAACTGATTCGTTTGCAATATACATAACGTCGATGTATATAGTATAGTTAAATTCAGTATCTTTTAATAGAATGAATCTGAAATATTCGGGTAACTTATTATATATTTGATAATACTTATAGTATTTGATAAAATGTTTTATAGTATTATTACTCTCATTGTAGCCTATATATTGTAATACACTATAAAAACATTATGCAAATAGGTGGCCGAATTATTAATATAAACACTATAGTTTAATAGTTATTAAATAGTAGTCATTCTAACAAATAGATTTTTGAATAAACTTGTTGGTTCAATAATGAGATCAGGAATACGGGAGACGTGGTTCCCACTATCATTAGTAGGCCCCTAAATGTCTGTATTGTATTCTGTTTAAAGAGCTAGCTAATGAGGGGAAGTAGTAGGCCTTATATAGGCACTACTGAAAGAGCTAGTCTCCTTTGTATTCGCCTAAATACCTTTGATATAGTAGTCATTATATTGAAGTCATTCTTTTGAAGTGAATTCCCTTGTTCACACAAAACTAATCCATATTCATCTTTCATGTCAAAAATGTATGCCCATATCTTCTAATAACAGAATATTGATTAATTGGATTGATGAATTTGTTAATAATATTGTTATAGAATACTTTAAGTCGATCTATATCCTTAAGTTCCAATAAAAATGGAATATTAGTATTCACAATATGAAAAACAATATATCCAAATGATGTATCGATACAAAATAAACCTATTGATATTGCAGTCCCCTTCCCAAAGTGTATATTCGCTGCTCTTACTATTTGTAGATTATATGTCACTGGGCATACCTATTGTCATGTATGATATTATCCAATCCCAACTGTAGATTTACCTATACAAGTTATATCAATACATATACCAAAGAACTCCTTGCTTATATAATTTGTGTAAAAGATATCTATTATATTTTCTACTGATAAAATAGTTTTAATAGGATCTCTAATCAATATATACAATATCGTATTAACTGATAACTAATTGAATATCTCTTGGCTATTTATAGATTCTGAATTAACAAAAAATGCTTCTTCTTTAATATTATCAATATCAAGATCTACAAAGAATTATCCTATTTCGGTTTCTAAATTAGATTTTGTATTAATAGCTTCTTTTTTGTATTCGATTAATTATTAATTATAGCACTTATTAAATGTGTTATTATTATTATCCTTAATCTTTTCCTGATATTCACATCAGTTTTTATCCTATTCCTTTTAGGAATACTTTATTAATCGATATCCCTCTTTTTTATATATCCAGCAACGATTTCATTGTGTTATATGGATATATATATAGTAGTAAGCTATCAGGAAACAATCCCTGATACTGTGCCTTTTGGACAGATTGTGTGTGTGGTGTAGTGGTAAAGCTTACAACTCCTATTGTGTCCGCTTACGTAACAGAGTATCAGGGATTTTATCTTGTGGATATCGTTCTGGGATCTCTGATTTCGGGCTTTTAATTGGAACTGGGTGAACAACCAATTGAAAAGTGGATCGAATTAGGGACGAGGATGTATCTGCTTAATGATTGGATATTCTGAATTCATTAATAATGGATTATTAATGGTAAGGGTATTGGATAATAGAAGAGTGTTATTCTATTATTACAAATCATATGATTGACTATAGTATAGTATAATAACCCCTATACTAGTCTTTTCGGGACGAAAAAGGTTAAAGAGGAGGGCTTTGTTATATGGATATATATATAGTAGTAAGCTATCAGGAAACAATCCCTGATACTGTGCCTTTTGGACAGATTGCGTGTGTGGCGTAGTGGTAAAGCTTACAACTCCTATTGTGTCCGCTTACGTAACAATGTTCATAATCTCTAGTTTGATTAGGATTAGATGTTTTTAAGTGATTTCAATCTTCTTATCTATTAGAATAGGCTTAATAGCTTTTCCTTTACTGATTAGATTCCATTCTTTTTTTTTGCTATAGTTACATAATTAGGTTTAATTGATATTGTAGTAATTGGGATTAGATTTTTAACTAGTGTTTTAACTTGCAATTTGATTTTCCGTATAGTTGATTCGAGATAAGTGATTTGAGATACAATAATATTGAAGGTTGTAATAAACTTTCCTTTTTCGATATATTCTCTAAAGATTTTAAGAAGATCTAAAAACTTAGATTGTTTGTTATATAATTGAGTGAAAGTGAATACTAATAATATAAAGTCTCTCGCTTTTAGAATTACTTCCTTTAATATAATTGATTTGTTTTGTATTCTGAATTGTTTGTTCTGATTACTAAAAAATATTATAAAACCACATTTCTTATTCTGATTGAATATATAGATAGTATTGATTATATCTTGAGTAATGAAGGGTCACTAAGTAAATTAAACTCTTCAACTCTTCTTCTAAAACTGATTAACTGATTGATTAATAGAATGGGGCTAGAGATTTCGAATTGAGGGTTTTCAAAAGACAAGGAAGAGTTTAAAGATATTGGGATACCTAAAACAATAATAGAATAAGTATTTGATATAATAAGGGCTTTAGAAGAAGCCTTTATTATAACTATATCCCAAAATGTTAATAGATTATTAAAACAATCCATATTAAGAGTTATATTCTTATATTAAAGATTTAAAATGAAAATTTACGCGAATTTTTATATAAGTTTCGTGTTTAAAGCACTAACAACAATATCACAACAATTACTAATCAGAATCACTTGAGGGCAATTGCAATCAATTTGGTTTAATAATTATAATCTAAATCGATCGCGAAAGGGTTGTATTTCGAAGAAAAAGTTTCCTTCGAAATTTGTTGTGTGTGTTCACTCAGATTCCATATGCTATCCAACTAATGACTTTGCCTCGCCTCTGAGACACAAACCGAACTCAATCCAGCCATGCTCCACTCCTTCCGATCTTTCCGCTTTTTCAAGGTATTGGTCTAGATCCGCGTGCCCCCTTCGCAGCCCTTTCCAGCTCGGCAATGAATACCTCTAATTCATCGATGATATGCTGCTCTACTTCAGCCTGCTCTGTCTCCGCTTTTCGCAATTCATCGTCTAAGCCCCTGTCTGCTTCCTTGTCAACAGACGGTTGACATTCAATCAAAGGTTCTTCGTCATTGATACCATCCGTGTCCAGTATAATGGTCCATATCTTTGAGTAATCTTCAATCTCGTTCAGGCTGGATGAAGATTTCAACGAACGTAGTCTTCTCCATTCACCGTAAGCCATTGCTGTCTCCCATCTCCACCCTCTGTGTTCATATTTCGCAATAGTATTTTCAAGGTTACCATTAGGTATGGAATATAGATTACCGGTCCCCTTGAGTTCGTAGGTAGTTCTATCGATAAAGTTTGAACGAGGAAAGAACGAGTAAGCGAAGTTCCACGAGATAACGTTCACAACAACCGTATGGTTAAAGCCATTTATGATTGCATTCCAAGGAGTATCAGTTGTCAAGATCAATTGGATTTGAAGTGGCTTCTCCTCAGTGAGGCCCATCTTGAGGTATGTTTTGACCTATTTTCATGTAAGTATATATTGAAAGTTTGTGGCGGAGATACTAAATACCTCTAAGATATCTGACAAGTGGCCTGCATAAGCATGCAAGTCATTACCTTCATCCTCTTTTGCGGCCTGTAACTTGTAGCCTTCAATGTTGACTAAGTACTCATCGAGTCGATCGTGACTTTCTAAATCATCCGAGCCATTCACATAGATATCTAGATCGGATTCTTGCCAAAATCTCCTTTCAAAAAATTGTAAGGCAAAGCTTCCAGATATAAGGGCATTATATGTAGCCAACTTTGATCAAAATGTGATAGGGTCCTCAATAAATCGTTTGAGTTGACGATTAACATTCCATTGAGTCTTAAAAAAGCGATTCAAACAATAAAGAAAGCTGTTTAGTGGTCGCTCGGAGCAATAGTATTTCATTGGGATCCAGATGGGTACAAATGTTGTCGAAGATAGGATAACATAGGAAGATATCTTCCCAGCCAGATGACGAATTAGATTCGAGCATTCCGTTTGTAGGTAGACTTTGATGAAAATGCATTCTTGGATCTTTGAACTTTTTGGTGGATGTTGAATATTTTTGAGCAAACATGATGACGGAATTTTTGATTCTTTATAACGAAATATTTAATGCAGAAACACGCTATACAAAAGTAAGAATTGCGCTAATGGACTGCCATTCGGCATAAAAGAAAAATGAATCCAAAAGAAATGGTGTAAAATGGAACAAATATTTATGAATGCCGTACATGATCTGTAACTTGCATATGTTCAAACATCTAACCTACCCCAACACAACACCACAAAGTGTGCGATAGCTTCTTATAGTATCGGGACCATGTGTAACACTACATGAAGAAAACCCATAACTAGCACTACCTCTCGGTATGTATGGCATTGATACGATACAATGAATTTATCTTGAGATGATGGAATGTGTCAAATACATACATGAACCAAGACAGTTGATATGTGAGAAGTGATGCAAATTCGTCTCAACAACATTGATCGGTTGCCTAAACAGTACCAGATGATCGAAACGATTGATGAATGAAACCACCATTGATATTTGGATCGCAATATAGAAATGTTTGAGGAGCTCGAATTTCCAAAAGATGTGAATGTTAATTAAACATTTCTGGAGGAGCTGGGCTTGATTTGATACTGAAATAAGCCAGCGGAGGATCATCAATCATGTGACTGGTGGGTGGAGCTGTAGAAGGCTAAGTGTCTCGACTGACAGGTGAAGCCTTGAAATCTTATAATATATTGAAACCCTTGAAGCAGTTGAAACAGTTGGAGAGACTGAAATTACATGAGATATTAAAAGCACCTGGAACTTTGACATAATATAAAATATTGAAATCTTATAATATATTAAAACTCTTAAAGAAATTAAAGTAGTACAAAACATTAAAAACACTTAGAACTTTAAAATCATATATTTATTTATTTATTTATTTATAGTGATTAACGTCTAATATCTGACCTCCCAAGGGGTATTCTAGATATACTAAAAAGCGGGCCTATAGGCCGCTAGCATTCCAGCCGCTTATAGTAATATAATGTTAGCTAATCAGGGGCTTGTTGCCTTTGGTATTCCCTTGCTCAGTATTGCTTATGGCGATCCTGCGGCTATTCTGTTTAAGGGTTTGTGATCCTATTTCAAAGGGCTTTGTTTCATATACCATCCAAATATCAGCGAATAATTAGATCAATTACTATTGATTAGGAAAGCACTCGAAGTGCTTATAGCTATTTAATGTAAGTCTTAAATTAATTAGAATGAAGAACTTATTCTTAAGGTATTAAAGCAAATTAGAATTCGTATAATTTCATATAATTTGAGTATATTCTAATATAAAATCTAGATCTAGTGAGAAGATCAGTAAAGCTATATTGTATTTATAGGATATAATTGATATATACTATCGCATCCCATTTGAATCGAAGTCGATTTGGTGTAAGCAGCTAGTTATTGTGTATTTGATTATTGATTGAATATTGAAAGAAATGTAATGGGCTTTTCTCAATTCTATATATATAGATATTCATATTATTTTCGTAATTAAATCTGATATGATAGATTATAAAGTCATTATATCCAGTCCATATCACTATAAATCTATATAATATTCTATAAAAAAGCTTAAGGCTTTCCGGCTTCAAGATATTATATATTGGTTTTTATATATTATATATTTCGAAGATCAGGCCTCTTTTTTCCTTTTATTATCTATTTTCGGAATATCGATATTTGATATATAGGATAAAGCGGGAATTATTAATTATAAAAAGACAAAATAAACTAGAGTCAAGCAGCCCAGCTATGCTCTGATTAGTAAAACGATTGGCTGCTTCATTGCCCTCAATCTCAATATATCCAGAGAACTATTTGATTACAATATTGTAGTATTATATTGTTTGATAATACTTGTAGTATGCTTATTGAGAGAAGGCAATAATGCTTCCTTGTATTCCTTAGATTATTGAAGTACTATTAATATATAACCATATTCATTCCTAATAGAGACAATCAATAATGCTTAGGAGGTATTTTAGTTCTTGCTATGCGCCGATTGCCTTAATATCAAAAATATACGATTGTTTATATATATAGCTATAGCCGCTATCGATCTATTACTTACCATAATAGATTGCAAAGCCGAACCCCACACAGTGATTATATTCGTTATATTGTTCAGATCTGTTTGAAAATACAGAATAATCTTTTTAAGGGATTAAGTTTTATTATTCTTTGAATATTTTTATAATATTCTCTTTATTTATATTATTTATTGAATTAATATAGCATTTAGAAGAAAAATGAGATTATAAAATCTAGGGCGTTTGGTAGCAAAAATCGCTTATCCCATTCTTTACAGTTTTGTATTAGAACCTTTCAGAATATTTGTACCTTGTCCTCTCTTTTTGATATATAGCTTTAATTGATTTATAAGTAAATATTGTGTATTTATTATCTAAAGCCAAAATACAAATTTCAATTTGGCTTACTCTAATACAACAATTCCAGCTAGGAAACTAATTTCTACAAGGAGTATAATTATTGGGATTGTTTTATAAACAAATAAAGCTTTCTATATTATACTATAAATCGTTTTGCTAACTAGATCGATATATTTCTTGATCCCAATATTGATCGGAATATAGCCTGCATTTGGGTGTTATTTGTATAGCCTATCGAATCATACTTCGAAATCGAAAAGGATAATAAGGAGTATACAGATAATAATCGCTTTTCGCAAATAAGCTACAGATAATCCATAAGTTGTATAAGCTATTAATCAGATATAAAATATAATATATATAGCTTTCACAATATATGTTTTGATATATTATAAGAACATTAAACACTAATCAAAAAAGATATTAAGCTAGTATAAAATCAATTATACTTTGTTAATAAGTTTTAGAGGGGTTAGTGTAATAATTAAATCCTGATTTATCCTTATAGTCAGATTTGTAATTTTATGTTTTCTTGATATATAAAGTAGCTTAAACTTTTCTGAAGTGAAAAAGACCTTATTCTGATCTCCCTATTATAGAATACATCGAACGGTTCGGTGGAGCATACATATATTTGTGAATAGATCCTTAAATATATAATATATAGCTATATTATCAGTATATCCGAAGCACTATGCTCTATCTTGATTGAGAAGCTCAGCAAGGTAGAGGGTATACAGGATAGGGGAGAGTGGCGATCCCTGGGGGGTACCGCATGCGACCGGGAAATCCTGTGTTGTGATCCCCTCAAGCCTTACACGCTTTAAAATCATATAGAATATTGAAATTTTATAATATATTGAAACCCTTGAAGAAGTTGAAATAATTAGAAATACTAAAATCACACATGTAAAAGGGTTCGGGAAACGAAAGAGGAGTTATCATTTAGAAGTATAGTTATTGATGAAGACTAGAAAAGAAGTTGAAAGCTTCGCTTCCAACTTATACTAAAGAGCTAGCTAAAACGGCTAGTATAGCCGGTCACGTGCCCAGAGGGTACGTGCGCCCTCACAACACAAGACATTAAAAGCATCTAAACTTTGAAATTATATAAAACATTGAAATCTTATAATATATTAAAACATTTAAAGAAATTAAAGCAATTAGAAATACTGAAATCATACAAAATACTGAAAGCACCTGGGACTTTGAAATCATATAGAATATTGAAATCATTTGAGGCGTTGAACTCATTTGAGGGTTTGAAACCGCGTGATGCATTCAGAGAAGGCGGGGCAGGGTAAGGATAAAAAGACTAAGACAGGGAGATAGATATAGGCATAGCAAGAAGACAGGCGGGAATCAAGGACAAAAAGACGAGGTGGAGGGAGACAAGAGCAAGAACAAGGTCAAATGAGACTAGGTGGAGGGGGAGCAGGCAAAGAGGCAATTATAGACATGTCAAATTACACCGGTAGTATCACATAAGACAGAGCATTGGTTGTGGAAAGACTTTTCATATTCATTCAAAGTAATTAATCATCCATCGCATTCCATATTTCTTTTTTCCTCCATCAATCATATGAAGCAGACTTCTTTCTGCCGTACCTGCCAACTTTTTGGGTCTCAGTCTCAGCCTGAATGGACAGGAGCACTTCCGAATGCCATCAGCGTTATAGAGAACAAGCACCAACTCTTCCCTTAAATCTTTTTTAAGAAGAGAAATGCCTATTCTATGTTGTGCCACTGTCGTATATCGATTTGATCGTAAAAGACGCCCACTCGTAGATGATGTGAAAAATGAAAAAGTAAGAGGAAAGCCTTCAATTCAAGCTCTCAAATGGTATCCTCCCTTGCCATGTGTCTTATGAATAAAAGACAACGAAGAAGAAAATATCGAGAATATGAATCCCACTTTTTTTCTATCTAGAAATGCGAAATGCAGCAAAATGCAGTGTAAAGAAAAAAACGAAAATATTTGCAAATCTTCCATAGTGGAGGACTCATGATCCATGGAAATGCTGAAAGCAGGACCAGTAAGGTTTTGGAGAACATGTCTATCGTAATGCGTTTCTTGGAAAACCTAGATGAAAGCTTATATAGCCCCCTAATCCAGGTAATAAAAAGCATCGTGACCGGTAAGCAGTAAAAGGATGACATCTCGTGTCAGCCGTCTAACTGCCTTTCTATAATGGGTATCGATGCGAGGCGACAGTCATAAACAAAAGACAGGTTCTATCGTATGCCGATCAATGGTCGAGCGAGACCACGTGTAAAAGCCCGACTCTATCGCTGAATGCAAGAGAAGACTTTAATCGTGGGTATTGCTACCAGAAAACAGAAAAGGCGCAGAATAATTCGTTGATGAGCAAATGTAAAGCTGAAGTGTAAGGAAAAGTCGACAGAGAAAAGCAAGTTTTTTTTGTGAGGATATCAATGAGAGGTACAATGACCATCAATATCCACTAAACGTCTCCGTTCAAGTTCTAGAGTACCGAAATCGAAATACGAATTTGAGCAAGGAACGAAAAGCGTTTGGTGTAAGGTTTTACCACCAGCTTTGGCCACCACCACCAGCAGACTGAGGAACCAGAAGTCAGTAATTGTTTTAATGCGTCTTGAGCATTGGAAATGATAATTGCGGAATTGAACTTACTGGATTGCCATAGCCTCCACCATTGCCGCCACCACCGTAACCACCACCACCACCATATTGTCCTGGAGGAGGGCCGTAGCTAGCTGGAGCAGGTGGACCACCGAAGCCACCACCACCACCACCATATCCACCAGAGGCTGGAGGTCCACCGAATCCACCACCTCCGTTAAATCCACCACCGCCACCTCCGCCGAATTTACGGAAATCACGGTTGGCTCCACCACCACGTCCACGACCACCAGATCGACCTCCTCGTCCACCACCAAAGCCACCACCTTCACGAGCAATGTTCTCGAGGAAAGATGGAATCTCTTGGTTGGCTTCCTTCAAGAGTTCAATAAGATCGCGACAGACACCACGGTTTCCACGGTTGAAGAATGCAGTCGAGATACCAGTGTTACCAGCACGACCTGTACGACCGATACGATGAACATAGTCATCAATGTCGGTGGGAAGGTCGTAGTTGACTACATGCTTTACATTGGGGATGTCCAACCCTATGAAGATAGAATTAGCATTGCCTATTCAAAAATAAAATCTCCTGAAAGAAGATTGTGTAGAAGGGGGAAGCGAGGAGGGAGAATCAAGATCGGAGGAAAACCCCGCAAAATTTACAACATACCTCTGGCTGCGACAGCAGTAGCGACAAGAATTGGGCAACGGCCATTTCTGAACATCTCAAGAGCACGTTCACGCTCACGTTGAGTACGATCACCGTGAATAGAGGTGGCGGGGAAGTTTTGGTTGATCAAGAAGTCTGACAAGGAATCGGCCATGCGCTTAGTCTCAACGAAGATGAGAGTAAGACCAGCACCGTGAGTGTGGAGGATGTCCAAAAGGACGGAACGCTTGTCAATGTCCTCGACGTATTCAACCTTTTGAGTAATGTTCTCAGAAGTAGAACCAACACGACCAACAGACCAGAAAACGTAATCCTTCAAGAAATCACGGGCAAGCATTTGGATATCGCGAGGGAAGGTGGCTGAAAACATGAGGGTTTGACGGTTTTGAACACCTGGCATGTCCTCACCCTCAACAATTCGTCGAATTTGTGGTTCAAAACCCATGTCCAACATACGATCAGCCTCATCAAGAACCAAATACTTGATGTTTTGGAGAGAAATGCGGCCACGCTCAATCAAATCGACAAGACGACCCGGAGTAGCAACGAGGAGATCACAACCACGTTCCATTTGGCGAAGTTGAGAACCAATATCGGCACCACCATAAACGACACAAGGGCGAACCCATGATCTGTAAGCGAATTTGCGGGATTCATCGTAAATTTGGGAAACAAGCTCACGAGTTGGGGCGAGGATCAAGGAAGTTGGGTAAGCCTTGCGAGTGCGTCCGAAGCTTCCTGCAGCATTAGCTGGAACAGGAGATGGACCAGTTTGGAATGCTTGAGACAAATGGGGAAACAAGAAACCACCAGTCTTTCCGGAACCAGTTTGAGCACAAGCCATCAAATCACGTCCACCCATAACAATTGGGATAGAGTATTTCTGAACTGGGGTTGGGACTTTGTAATGTGCCAACTCAATGTTCTTGATGAGATGATCATCGAGAGGTGGGTTGGTGAACTTGAGGACTGGTTCTGGGACATCTTGACCAGATGCTTCAACTGGGATATCATCGTACTTTTCGAAGTTGATACCGGTTTGTTGCTTGGTTGGATCATCGGCAACACCGAAGAGTTCACGTTCTAAACGAGCGTTGGCAGGTCCAGCAATGTGTTTTCCATCTCGCCATTGTCCATCTCCACCACCACGAGCTTGACCACCACCAGCGCCACCAGCACCTCCTGCACCTCCAGGACCGCCAGCACCAGCTGCAGGGTTTCCATAAGCGTTCTTGTTGAAAGATGGAGGACCAGATGGGTTCCAGTTGTTTCCACCTCGTGGTGCACCGTTTCCACGTGGGGTGAAATCAGGAGCATTAGCCCAAGATTCACCTCCAGCTGGACGTGGACCATTAGCGTATCCATTACTAAAAGGAGAAACAAGTCAGCACATCTATCATTACGAATGCATCTGATGAAGATGGGGAGATAACTCACCCTTGAGGGGCCCAAGCACTACCATTCAAGTTTGCTGGTGGACCACTTGGAGCAGGGCCACCCATCTTGCCTCGCATGTGGGGAGGAATATATGATCGAGGTTCACCACCGTTAAGGTTGAGACCATTCATGTTGAGTTGATCCGCCATGTTGAATAAAATTCTAGAAGATCAAAGTGGTGTAAAAGTTGTGAGGTTATCGGGTATCGATTGATAAGGGTTCTTCGTAATTCGGCCGTAGTATTATCGAACAAATTAGATTTGACTTTGAAAAGTCTTTTTTGGTAACTTTTGAACGTCTCGTGTAAAAAGACAGTTGAGATGATAATCAGAAATCTAAGAAACCGAAACGCAATGGAAACGATTAAAAAGAAGAAAATTTGGATGAAGTTATTGCTTCCGTTCGTCTTTTATAAATAAGAAGAGTGAGGAAACGTGAATGTCGAGACAATCGTCAAACTCTTTTCAACTTGTTTTCTTAATAGCCTTCGAAAGAAACTTCAAAGACCGAAAGTAAGAAAAAAAGAAATAAATTGATCGTAAAAAAAAAGAAGCTGTTTGGTGTTATCGGGGTTGAAGAAGGAAGAGATTTTATTTTATTTTATTTTGTGTGTTTGAAGAGGAAGAGGTTTCGAAGGAAAAGAGAAGAATTTTAGTAGAACCAGCTTAGTACTCTCTCCTAGTAGAATTTTTCGATTTTGGACCAAGTGCGTATTCAAATCGTGGTAACTGGGTAAGAGAGGCAAAAAAAAGAAAAAGACGTTAGTCTCGATTGGGTAAGCGGACTGAGAGACCCTGAGCTAAGCCCTTATGGACCATTTTAGTAATGATGAATAATGATGAACCCAATGAAAAAATCAAGAATTTTAAAGTTCTCAACTTCCATCTGGAAAAAGTCCCTTAACTACTAGGTCCCCCAGGCGAGCCTGATATCATCCCGCCGCCCGCATCGTGTTCCATCCTGTACATAGTAAAATGAATACCTGCTATACAGACACCCTACCTACCTAATCTTTTTATATACCTACCTGGGTAATACTTACTAAATGAACAACATCCGCACCTTTGTCGTATATCATCATACTTAGCTATTTCCAGCTACCCACTCGACATCTTCTACGGAGTAGATACCTACAACGTGCCGACTCATTTATTCAGTCTTATTATATATACACAGAGTGCACGTATCTATTACCTACCCTAGGTACTAGGTAGCTGGAGTATCAAGGTTTTAGCCACTGCAATTATTTTCACTTATTCATTGGATGGATTTGTATGACGCTCCGCTGGGCCACTGCCGTGGAGGCTTCTTCGCTACGCTCCATTACTTCACTCCTAATCTACCATGTTGTTTGCATAAATCTTGATATATTATATTTATCTGGTTGCTGCCTACTAGGTAGCTACCTATATGATACGTTATTGCTAGAAATCACCTACGAAGTACTTCTCTTACCTTTCTTCATTTCAATGATCCTGACTACTAGTGTCCTCCCCTCCCTGTCTGGTGTTGACACGAGTAGGTTCGTATCAAATGACGTCGCACAGTCATCAATTGTGTTTCAGTCGAACATCGGGGCGAGTATCGCAACCACTATGTTATCTTACCACATACAGTCACTAGAAGATGATATCGATACGTTCAATGATGGAGAAGGATCTAGACATAATTTAGATCAGTTTGGAGGTATAAGCTCTGGTTTGATAGACAGTACTGTATTTTTATATAAAACAGCACATGACATTCGTAAGATCAAGGTTTGAGAGTCCTCCTGTCAGTCTCAAATCTGCTTTCTCCCCTTCTAGACATCTACTGTATCTATACCCTTAAAGTTAAATAGACATTCTACAATACCCATCTCAATATCGGTCACTATGCATGTCTACCTTTCTTTTTTGATGAAGTGAAAAGAAGCTTTCGCCATGTTAAATATGCAGCCATGTTCTAGACCGTCGATCGATCTCCAACTTCCAGAAAAATGATAGACATCTATGAATATGACCTACATCTAGGTTCGGCTATAAAAGGAGAACCCGCCTGAGACCGTACTTTAAGAAAGAAGTCTTTGGAAAATTATATCTTCTTAATGGGGCATGTGAGGCTGGAGTCGTGTAAGTTGAACTATACGCTCTTACCGTGTTGATCTTTGTCCAAACCATCTGGAAGATCATACAGCAAGATAACGGACGATGGAGAAAGAGGGTAGGCATCGATAACCCTTAGGCTTAAGACAATTCCTGCGTGTACCCGGCAAGAAGACTGTAGGATTGAATCACAACGTTTTGCGAATGTGGTGGATAAAAAAAGGTAGCCACCACGGCAGTGGTGCCCTGGAAGGTCTAGCGGGAGCGTCATTTCAAATATACCAAAAATTTCTAGACGGATCAAATCACAATGCGTTTCCAGTAATGAATCATCGAAATAGGTATCGCCAGTTTATGCCATTTGATGCCACGCTAATATACACCCATGCCTTAATTCATAGTTTATCTCCTGTGTCATAAAGGGCCCCTCATAAGAAATCATCCTCGAATCAACTCTCTAAGGGCAGTCGATTCTGGCACTGTCATCATAATCAAGCTCCTTAATTCCCTCCTTCGTAATAACTTTAACAGTCATTCCCTTGAAATCAATCGGCAACCTCCTCTTCAACTCATCCGTACACATCCTCAAAACTTTCATTCCTTGTTCAAAATCAATATCTGGGTGGTGGTGTTTATCAAGAATAGACAAGCAGTAGTATTGTGCATAGCCGTGAGCTGCATATGGAAGGGGTGCAAGTGACGCTAGGTAATCGAGCCAGTATAGGCTGGGCTTGTCGGTGATAGGATCAACACCGCCGAGGAGAAGGTTGACATTGTATGGTTTGCGGGAGCGAAGAGATTGTGCTAATTCACCACGGACAAAGTGAGCAACCGCGGATGGGGAGAGATCGATGTTATTGCGCATGGAGTAAAGTTGAGCGTTGGCTTGAATGTATTCTGCGAATTGAACTGTGAAGCGCTAATATTAGCATGTTATTTTGTTGCAGAAGACTGTGGACAGTTACTTGTATCTCCAGCCTCTCCGGAGAATGCCATCAAGGTATGTTGGTTTAATGCTCTTGTCTTGTCATCTGAAGCTTTGAGAATGGTTGCACCTCTCATGGCAGCTTTTGAAGCCGCAATGATGGTAAAGTCCTTGCCAGTTATTCCAAGTAAGACCTCCCTAAGAAAATGATCTTGTCAGCGCAGTCATCCAAAGACTTTTTTTTTATTCAAACTTACATATTGATAGTGATTTAAGTTGTAGGATGAAGCTTCAGATTGTATTAACTATTGAGACTTTGGAGCTCCAACGCGTGTAGCTCTCGCTGCCTCATTCAATTCGGCGCTAACATGCTTATGTCTTAGCGCCACAAGCTTGAACATTTGATTGTAAGAATGAATAAAATCCCGATTAATCAACTTTCAATTTGATCATGATTTTCTTGCGAGATATTGATCCAGATAATCTATGAGTCTACAGCTACCTAGTATGTCATCTCTACGAACATGATCTGTAATTCTTTTGATGTATGAATCCATAACCTTTAATCTCGATAGATGTCACGTGCTACACACTCCATTTTGGATCCACTCAATCCCTGTCTCGAAATTCTGCGGCAGAATAATTCTACCCAAAAAATTATTTTGATAGGACGAACATTTTTCTGTATTTTCTATCGTGACCTTTCTTTTTCCCAACCGCCACAATTATGTCTTCTTTCTTCACAATACCCAACTCCCAAAAGAAGAGGAAACGAAATGATGCCCCAGAATTACCCAAGAAAAGATTAGCTGCCTCATCAAAAGCTCCCGCGAAACAGCCAAAACCTGCGAAAACCCCCGAAAGAGATGAATCGATTTCTGGAAGCGACTCGGAGAGTGAAGGAGGTCAATTGGACGATGATGTTGCAGATCTCACCTCGGATGATGAATTAGAGGGAGAGAGAGAAGAAGAAACTGCGGCGGAGCGCAGGCTGAGATTAGCAGAAAGATATTTGCAAAATATCCGGGAGGAGGTAGCAGATGATGAAGTTGGATTCAACGCCGAGGACATTGATCGAGATTTGATCGCCGAACGCTTAGAAGAAGATGTTGCGGAATCGAAAGGAAAAATATACAAAACATTGGCAGACGAATTGGAATTTGGGGAAGCATCGAGTTGTCATTTTAAGAAGGATTCGCATTCATTTACGAGTGTAGCTACCTGTGCGCCATATGTTTATACTGTGACCAAGGATATGTGGCTAGTCAAGTGGAAAATACAGGACTTACCAAGGGACCAATATCCGCAAAAGAAAGGCAAGAAGAAGAGCAAGAAACCTTCACCACCGCCGAAGAAAAAGCCTACCCTAGTAGCTTCAGTACGAGGGGATCAACGAAAGTCGAAAGTGACATCCTTCATGGGGCATACCGACGCAATTATAAGTGTGGCCGCCTCACAAGATGGTAAATTCGTTGTAACTGGTGGTGTGGATCGAAAGATTATTGTTTGGAATGCAGAGACTCTTCGACCCATTCGAGTTTTTTCGCAACATCGAGACGCAATCACAGGGTTAGCTTTCAGAAGAGGAACAAATCAATTATATTCCAGTTCAAAGGATCGAACAATTAAAATATGGAGTTTGGATGAAGGTGCATATGTGGAAACTTTGTTCGGTCATCAGGATGAAGTTGTGGATATCGCTTCTCTTGCCCAAGAACGCTGCATATCAGTAGGCGCTCGTGATCGTACAGCCCGTTTATGGAAAGTGGTGGAGGAAACACAACTTGTTTTCCGTGGCGGTGGAGGTGAGAAGAAATCTCGTCACAAGAACAATCCTAATGACCTCCGTACTCTTGAGGGTAGTATCGACCGTATAGCTATGGTTGATGAGGATATGTTCATTACTGGAGGTGACAACGGATCACTGTCTCTTTGGACCATTCACAAGAAAAAGCCAATCTACACATTGTCTCAAGCTCACGGAGCAGACGAGCCAATAAAACCCGAAGAAGCATCCGCAGAAACCGACCCCTCCAAAAGAATCGTACCTCGTCCCTCACCCCGCTGGATTACAGCTTTAACCACAATTCCCTACTCCGACCTCGTACTCAGTGGTAGTTGGGATGGTGTAGTTCGAGCTTGGAGAGTCAGTGCCGACAGAAAAAGCCTTGAATCTATGGGTCCCGTTGGTCGAATCGCTGATACCACTATGAATGGTGCAAAAACCAAGAAACATGGATCCCAAGCACCAGCCCGCGGCATCATAAATGACATATCAGTCTTCGAACGCGGTGATAGGGGAAAGGACGGTGTATGTATCATTGCAGCTGTAGGAAAGGCCCACCGTTTAGGTAACTGGCAAAAGGCACCAGCGGGAAGAAATGGAGCAGTCATATTTGAAGTGTCGAGGAAACAGATAACTAATGGTGTTAATGGGCATGCGGATGAAAACGGGAAGGAGGCATGATATGCTTTGCAAACGTATAGTTGGGGATCAATTGGCCCGGGAGAGTTTTGTCATAAGAGGCTAGATGCGTGATATCTTCATTTGTGATTACGTTTACTTGTATGTATGAAATCGAGGTAGATACATAGCTCAATAATGAGGTAGCTTCTGGCTCTTGAGAATCTTGCTGAAAATCTTATGCATGTGATGGTATTGTGTGTTATTTTGGTATTCATGGTTGTGTTCCATGCATTTGAACATGTAGGTAGCATACCCCACCTCTTCCCCCACCCGTTTTCCCCTTTTCCCAACCGAGCAATGTCAAACCATGAGCCACGTGTCTCTGGACCCCTCACGCAACAGACAGATACGACGAATTCGGAGAATGATTGTCAAGAATGACACTTTCATGGGCGGATACACCCCAAGAAACCCCGTACAAAATAAACCACTTTGCGAGAATGATGGGGAGATCATCTATAATGAATAGGTCTTCGCTGCCTTTATGATTTGTTAAATTTCCTGGTATCATTTCTTGACTATATCATACACATACAGCAAATTCATCTTGCATCTGGTATCTCCTCTCGACGCACTAATTAATCACCCGATATGTGTACACTTTGTCCGTGTCATAGCCCAAGAATATCTGGGCGATCAAATTTTGCAAGTGATTTCGAGAGAGTGCAGTGGTTACCAATGAAGAAAGCCGAAGTTGTATCACCAACTAAGTCTTGTTGAAGGAGGACCCTAATGGTATAAATTACGGCATTTTGAATCCCCATCAGTTAGCCTTGCTCTTCCCTTTCCCAACAACCTCTCTTCGCTTCTCCCAAACCTGCAAGTAACTCTCTCCTAAATGCAAAAATTCTCTTTGCCCTCCTTCCACAAATAGGTCCTGCACCACCTTCCACTCTCCCGTCGCCTTATCTCTCAGTTGCACTTTCCAGCTCCTCTTTTCCGATTCTCCTTCTACACTATCTTCTCGCCCTCTGACTGCTTCATGTACTATATTCGCAACTAAATCGTACCATATTGGTTCTCCAGGTCTAGCATGTTTCATGTCGGGTTCAATATATGGTGACATATCGAGATTGCGCGCGTCAAACGTGACAATTGTAGGATTACGTTCATCGACGAACTTGTTGTGCGAGAATCGTTTTATGTGAAAGAGGAGAAAGGGTGGTAGTGGATGAAGTAATCGGTAACGTTTGCGCATGTTGAGATGCTCTTGCGCTTTCAGACCATCGTATTTTGCGAGGATACTGGTCAGAGGAATTTGAGGAATGATGTTTCGTTCTAATTCGTCTTGAAATAATGGCGCTGGAGGTAAATCTAATGTGAGTAGCATGAACCTACTAACATCAGTTTTGACATCTGCATCTTCAAATCGTAGTCGATCACCAGCATCTGCTTTGGCGGTAATAGCTTGAGATTCGACTTTCAGCTTTCCTTGGAATATCTTCTGTATTATTGAAGAGCCAGGTTTAGTTTTGGAACCCCCGAGTGCGAGATGTAGGTTATTGAGGAACCAAGAAAGGAAATCGACAGGGTCGGACTGGGTGGTTAGATTGAACTTCTTGTTTGATTTGAGGGATATTTCTTGGAGAAGTTCGTGCGGAGAGACATGAGATTTGAAGGCTCTTGGATTCCAAATCTTTCGGAATAAAATCGATACTCGTTTGATGAGTTCCGCTTTGTTGTGAAAGTCCTCCAATAAAAAGAAATTTCGAAGAGGCGGCACATGAGAAAGTGCTTGTATTACCACATTGAAATAGTCGTTATCCTTGATGTTGTTCATACCGACAAAACCTGGTATATATTCTTTGCCAGATAGAGTCCAAGAAGATTTGGCCTCACGGTCCATAGCCATAACCTGCTCTTTTGTGTATGTAGGATCAGATACAAACTTTATGTCGTCCAGACTCTTATTTTTTACCTCGTATCCTTCTGGTAGAACGTAGACCTTTTGTGTTTGCATATTGATGAATACGTGATGCCCTACCTCAAGAGCATGGAAATAGGCATGAGACTTTGTCCCTCGACCCTGATAGTATTTCCCGCATACTAAACAAGCGTATACGTTGATATTTGAAAGGGAAATCGAACAGAGCTTTTCGAAATCGAAGTCTAAGACATTGCGATTGATGGTATCAAGGTAGAGATCGTCGTAACCTTCCATTGGTGCCTTTTCTCGAGGGACCACAAGTTGCGAATCTTCATCCTCAACTTCAAGATCTTCCATTCCATTTTTCAAATCCTCCTCATCCTCAATCTGCACCGGTCTAGGTTCTACCGTCCTCTGTCGTTTCGGGGTGGGTTCTGTTTCCAAATGCGCTCCATTGATCGAATCGTCGCCATCACTTTTTGCGCCGGCATTCGCAGAGTCGCCATCGCGTTCTTTACGCTTCCTAGTCGGGACATCCATATTTTTAGAACTTGGCATGTTGATATCGGACATAGCTGTAGAAGATACTTTAAGGCGAGGCAAATGGAGATGGAAAGTTGACCTCGCTTGTTATTTATTTGTAGCCTTGCGCTAAATTTAATTTTGGGTGTTGAAGCTGTCTCCGGCTACCTAGGTACCTAGCCTAGGTAGCTCCAGGGGCAATGACCACATCAAAGCCACACTCAAGCCACACTCAACATCAGCGAAATAACAGGCGGAACCTTGGAATTGACCACCATTCGAAAAAAACTTCAACAACTAAGACCTCCACGTCTCTTCTCAATATAATATTAAATAATAAAAACACTTGATAACAATACAAAGAAAACTCAAATTTTCGTTTGCTTTTTTCAAATTTCAGTATTTAATTTGAAATGAATTTATAATCTATTGAAAAA